TCACCTTGCCATGCAAGCATGGAAGCGACTTGTGACCGCTCTTCTGCTTCCTCGCCGGTGCTGGATGTCAGTCCTCAGGACGTGGACGGCGCTTCAAATTCCAGCGAGGACCGCCAGAGAGATCCAGCAAGTGAGGGAGTGACAAGCCGTCCTTCAGCAGACGCATTGGCTTTGGGATTGAAGGCTACATGGTGAGCAGAATCTGCGCGTGACCTTGAACTCGGATGTTGTTCGTCGCGTTGTCAGGAAGTGGATATTGCCCCAATCGATGGGAGCTCAGAGGAGCCTTGACTTGGCAGTGGCACATCTGGTGGTGATGATGTTGGGTTTTCCGGGTTTGTCTTGAATGTTGGACTCTTCCCGTCGTAATCGTTTTTATGCTGTTGGATTCGAGGGGATGCAGTGCGGAATGCCTGTAGAGAGGATCCCTGAAGTTGAGAGTCGTGTTGCTTTTCTCCCCCGAAGCATCCGGACATGTCTTCGGGAGGATGCGGGGTTGCCAGGGCCAACGCTCCTCCAGGCGTGGCTCTCAGCGGCTTTAGCTGGCATGAGTGTGGACATGGGCATAGGACATCCGGTTTACTGATGCGGTTTTGCCTACCGGGACAGACTGTCACTCGTATGGGTACCCAGGACCCACATTTTCTTTGGCAGGGCGATCATGTGTTTGCAGTTCGGAGGCTGCAGTGGCTATGGCGCACTGCAGCGTCATGTGGGTCTGGAGCATTGGGCTTTGGCGTAGGGCTTGACACAGCAGGGTGCAGTACTTGTGTTGAGCAATACTCGCAGATCACAGCCCGTTTCAGTTTCAAGACACGGCGAGAACTCTGGAAGTCCACGGAATTCCACAAAACACGGTGAGGGCAGAAGCCATCTCTTACCCGAATTCCTCCGTCCACTCCAACGGAATGTCAGTGATACAGAACCGCGAGCAGGCCGCGCCGCTTTCGCCGCACAGCCTCCGCGGCCAAGACTCTCCCAAGGCTCGGGCCATCTCGGACATGTGGGAGTTTCAAGCCATGAGAGCCCTTGCCAGGTAATGACCCGACGTGACTTCGGTGCTCTCGTTCCCTTCCAACACTCCATAACTTCCCAGAACTCTCCCTTATAGAGCCCGTACAAAATGACTAGGACACCCTGCGAATGATTGTCCTTCTTAAGACAAGCCAGTAATCACCCTACAAGAGCCGCTAGGATCAGGACGATGTTTACGACGAACTTGCGAGTAGCTGTCCTGTCTGCAGCGTGTTTGTGTGCTTGTGTGTGTAGGCGGGTACGGCTGCCGGACCATCCATCGGAGAGGGCGAGAACAAGCCTGAGGCAGGCAGTGACCGTCAGCAGACGTGACAGTGACATGAGAACGCCTGTGTAGCTTCACGGTTTGTTCTTCCCGCTGTTGCACTGCATATGTCAGGAGTGTCTGATCAGGCCCCCCCAAGAGCGCCCCCATCAATAATTTAAGAGCTTAGGGACCCTAACAGCCAGGCACCGAAATGCAGCACACACACGCTGCTGAAGGCCGAGTGCTCCTGCTATCTCCCTCTCCTTTTGGGGCTTTGCCAACGCCAGGCCAATGCGCCGATCTTCATTCCAAGTGCAGCAGCGGTTCGTGAGGCATGTGTCGGAACGGACAAGCTCAATGCCTGTCAGACGCGTATATGAACCCCCCCCCCCCCCCATTTCTACAGCGTCAGACCCTGAGCGGAACCCTCAGCCCGACATGAACCACAGCCCCTCGCGCTCGTCCTATCGGCGATGCCTATCCATGGCCACGCCGTGGCACGTCTAAACGACTTAGCTTTGGAGGGCTTTGGGTTTAGGTTTAAAGTTTAAAGGTTTTGGCAGGATGGCAACAGGAAGCCATTATCGTTTTGATCACGTTGTCATCACCGCAGAACACGTTCGATTAGATCTTCAGCTCCTTTCAGCATCGAGTCCCGAAGCCTGAAGTACTGAGCCCTCAAACCTCAACCCTGCAGCTTTGAGCCTGACAGCCCTAAGCCCTAAGCCCTTCCTTTTCGGATGAAGTTTCTACAGCAATCGCCCCACCATCCGGCTGCTGAGCAGATCATCTTCAAAGACTTGGCTGACTAGCGCGACTACCGTTGCTTAGGTCCAAACCTGAACTACGAGAGACCTTGTAAGAATCTTAGCGGAACCCTTGCACTAACCCGACTCCGGCAAACCCAGTGACAGGCTATTACAGCTGCCCAGCGCGCAGCAGAGGTGTGGCTGTGGCCGATAAATAAATCCATGGCACGAGATCCGAAGCTTGGTGTTGGAACCTGCATTTAGATCAATGCCAAAGTTCCGACGCAGGAGATACTGCTAAGGTCGGGTCATACCAGCTCTGTCTGCTCCCCCCCGGGCTCACACACTAGGTAAGCACTCAACTCCCGAAGCCGAGTGTGAGCCAGTTCCCTAGAGCGAAACCACTCCTGCTTCCTTCGACAGGAGCGGGTAGCTGCTGCCGCTGCGACAGAGGTGCGAACTGGCCTAGCGAGATGTTGGGATCCAGGCCTTAGCAGCGAATTGTGTCCAGGCGCGCCTGCAGCTCCAGATCGTCCTTGCCGCGACCTTGCGAAACCACCCTCTCTTATCCGCAGGTTCTAAATGCTAGACACGGGGCATCAAACTGAGGCTCAGCGCTTGGCTTACAGCTTCAAGCAGCGCTGAGGAGACGTGCGGAACGGAGTCTTTTGTCTGCGATTTGGGACGCCGGAGCACACTTTCTTCATCTGTATCGGTCAGTCGTTGTTCTTATCACTCTCCTGGGACACCGCTGTGAACCAGGAGATCCGCTAGCTCACGTTTGTGGACACTCGGGCAACACTTCGGTTTACTCCTCGCATGTATCTGTACTTGGTCGTTCCACATTCTTGCCGCCGTCCTGGGCCACGCCTGTGAACCAGGAAATCCACTATCTTATTTTTGAACGGTCTTATTTGTCTGCGGTAATGGAGCCGTGGAGAACTATTTGTGTTGTTCCCTGCACTTGTCCGTCGTCACTGTCCGTCGTCACTGGTCGTCTCACATTCCTGTCAGTCAGTGTCCTGGGCCACCCCCGTGAACCAGCAGATTGTTGGAAAGGTGTTACATGGTGTTACTTGGTCTGCGACGTTTATTCACTGCATGTACCTTTCATGAGTCATTCCACGTTGTTGTGACTGTGCTGACACACCCCTGTGAACTTCCGAAGCCAAACCAAGCCTCAATCAACTACCCTGTGATGAAAGCACGGATTCTGCACATCACGTTGAGAACATCGCAATTTGAGCAGCGGGCTGTGCCTAACACAGAATTTCAGGAGCGGTAGTCGTGATTGTAGTTCATAAAGCAACAAGGTCATGAAAGGTATCGCTTGAAAGACCACATCAGGGACATAGTAACAGGGGCAGCTTTGGAGCCTGGAAGGCACAGAAGCCGTATCTTGAAACTGAGATAACCGCTAAATTCGGATCATGATCTTGTCCTACTCGGTGCTCCATTCCTGTTCACCAGCATGTCCATCAATAGCATCAAACAGGCCGCTAGTGGCGGCGTGGATGGATGTGGGCGCAGGTGTTGAGGTGGATGAAGGTCCGCCCCACCGGAGTGAATCATGTCTGTAAATCGTCAACGCACAATCGAAACGTTCACACAAGAGCCTACCAAAGAGCATGCCGAGCATCAATACCGCAGCAAAACTGCAGAATGCTTTTTTCCGGAAGATCGTGGCTGCCTCTTAAGCAAGACTTGCTGAAGGTATTTTGACAGTGCAGCCTGTTGCTTGTAGTGCCTGCTGCTGAGTTCTGGTGCACCAAGGTGACAGTATCCAAGGAAGCTTGCGGAGAGAACTTCTCCCGAGTTTCGTGTCGTGGGGTCATATCTGTGCTTTCGACTAAGCATCTGAGTTCGGAGAACTGTCGCAGAGAGCACGTCTATATTTCTTTATCTCAAGCTGCCAATGTGCCTCTTGAGAGTGATGCCAACACGGCCTTTGCTCCTTCGTAGTCAGGAATTGTGCCGCAAGCACTCCATCGTTGCACAACGGAGCCCTAAGAATTCCTGTCACTTGCTGTTGTTGAGCAAGACGTCGATGCAACGGATGCTTGCCTGATGGAACGTCCTCGCGCTTGTGGCCCCAGCATGTGAAACCACTCTTGTGCTTACACCTTTGTTTCCAGAGACTCATGCACGCTCAGGGCAGGTCCCTATCCAGACCTACCCGACAGCGAAAAGCACAGAGAGCACGTCTATATTTCTTTATCTCAAGCTGCCAATGTGCCTCTTGAGAGTGATGCCAACACGGCCTTTGCTCCTTCGTAGTCAGGAATTGTGCCGCAAGCACTCCATCGTTGCACAACGGAGCCCTAAGAATTCCTGTCACTTGCTGTTGTTGAGCAAGACGTCGATGCAACGGATGCTTGCCTGATGGAACGTCCTCGCGCTTGTGGCCCCAGCATGTGAAACCACTCTTGTGCTTACACCTTTGTTTCCAGAGACTCATGCACGCTCAGAGCAGGTCCCTATCCAGACCTACCCGACAGCGAAAAGCACAGAGAGCACGTCTATATTTCTTTATCTCAGGCTGCCAATGTGCCTCTTGAGAGTGATGCCAACACGGCCTTTGCTCCTTCGCAGTCAGGAATTGTGCCGCAAGCACTCCATCGTTGCACAACGGAGCCCTAAGAATTCCTGTCACTTGCTGTTGTTGAGCAAGACGTCGATGCAACGGATGCTTGCCTGATGGAACGTCCTCGCGCTTGTGGCCCCAGCATATGAAACCACTCTTGTGCTTACACCTTTGTTTCCAGAGACTCATGCACGCTCAGGGCAGGTCCCTATCCAGACCTACCCGACAGCGAAAAGCCATTTAGACTCGGAAGTTTACTCGAAAGCATCGTGGCGAGCTGGCATTCGCGTGCTGAGCCTGATCGCCGCCGTGATCCAGGCAGGGAGTGGCAGCTAGTCAGAGTTACATGCTCTATACAGGAGGTCACCTGCTTCGTCGCTTCCAGGACTCTTCGTTGCTGATGTCGTCATGCGCCCTGAGCCCAAAGTTCTCGTGGTGATCTGATAGAAACTGGATGTGTGAAGTTGAGGGCATGACTTGACGTTCAGAGCTGGCACACCACGTCCACTCGCGCTTCTATGGCCCATTCACTTATGCCGTCCTGAGATCTCAGCGACCACATCCACAAGCGTGCTCCCAGGAGGTTGGGCTGCTTTGCATTCTGGTTCTATGGCATCCAAATCCAAAGTGGATGAGGCTAGTCGCGGATCCCCATCATCGAATTAGTTGTCCCAGGCCTAGAAGCTTGCAAGGCAATATCACAGACTCGCAGTGTCCGAAAATGAGGTGTACCGTATTTTGGGGTCCTTAGATTAGGGCCCCCTCTTTTCGGAAACTTCCACATGTTGCCGTGAACCTTACAGTCTGTTTAGACCCAGGACATTCTTCCTGCAAATTTGTGGCCCAGCTTGCTCTCTTGCAATACACTTCTCAGGGTCTGGGGGGAGCCGTGTATAAGAACGCTGCGTGTGCCAACTCACAACACCCTGTGGACCTCAAATCCTACTCGTTCTGCGCAGGGTGCACAGCATCAGACCGTGCATTCGCTGCTTTGACTCTGCTTTGCAACGCATCATTGACTCAAAGAAGCCATGGCAATGCCGCACCCAAGGCTTCCCGAAATCTTAAACGTATGGCTGCAACCCAATCCTCCAAATCTCTGGCTGTCTTAACATCGGGCAAGTGGAGTTGACCAAAGGGTGCTGTGTGCGGTACCTGAAGTATTATGTTGCATTACGAAGTCCATGCCACCGCTGCAAAGGTCGCTTTGACCAGAGTGCATACTCCATGATGGCCGTGGGCTGAGCACCTGTTAAGCGTATACAAGCCTGACCTGATGAGAATGGTGATGGCCAGCACTTCGAGTCGCAGGACCTCCCTGAGAGCACTCCCCTGTAGATGGATCTGAAACTGAAAGAAGCCCCCCAGTTTAGGGTTTAGGGTTCTGGGCTTAGTTTGCGGCTTTGTTGGATGATGGGTTTTGGGTTGTTGCCCACTCATTGTGTGGGCATGCCCGGGTTTCATGAACTACCTAAACCTAGCTTGCCGAGTACATAGCAACAGCTCAAATCTGCATCTCGCGAGATGATACGATTCTGTTTGTGCAGCTGTGGGTAATAGCGAAATAGTACCAAGGTGTTGATAGTGCGAGCAACAACGACCACAATCTTCCTACAACAACAGACAGCGAACGACAACAGGAAGTGCTGGCAGAAACTTTCAGAGTGGTAGAGGAATAACATGACCGCAGAAACCGCACATAGCAGACGGACAAAGCACAGTATCAGTAGTTGTAGTGGCACGGCCTACAGTGCGAACGAGGCGGGCCCCATCCCAACACTCCCGTACTAATAAGGCCAAGAAACATAGCGGCAATGAGCGTGACAAACAATGCATGAGTTTCCTTTTCATGCCCTTAGCCGGAACCTTTTGCATCATGTTTTGAGAAGAGGCCCTGGGGAAGCACCTTGGGCGCCGCTGTTCCTGGCCTCTGCCTTACCAAATATGTGCTTGGTTGCCGACGTCTCGTTCAAGTGATGAGTGGTTCGGGTAAGTTTGGAAGAGGCCCATTCGGGGTCCATCATGAGTCAGTTCCCATAATGCGCCCTTCGAATTTCTGAAGACACCCGGACTCCACAAGCCACAAGTCTGGATCATGCAAGCCTTATCCCGCGTTCAATTATTCAATTATGAGCATTCGGCGTTGTGTTTTCAGCGACACCGCATAGAGACTTGCACGTGATCCATCCCTGCACTTTCTTAGTGCTCGATGGGTCCCTGGGAGTGCCGGCACATCTGAATTCACGGCGGCCTTGGTCCTGGTAGGAACTGCTGTACGTTGACATGAAGACGAGCTATGGTAGTATTGGTGGCCACAGCGACAAGGAGACTGAAAGCTAGCTGTTTGTAGGTAGCACGTGCAAACAACTAACTACTGGCAGGAGCACAGAGCAACACAATTCTGCTTGGCAGCTGTATTCATGGCCACAGCCGGAGTTGTGTAGTGCTAAGTGTGTCCGGCGATCGGCATCTGAGGCTTTGCGATAAGCCACTGCGCTATACTGTGCTCCTGCGGCGACCCGAGACGGCTGATGTGTTTCAAGACTTAGGCCTCTGAATACTACTGCTACTTCAAGCACGGGGTGCAGGTGACCTTGACCTGGAATCCTCAACCTTCAATGCAGACAGCTGTGCTACAGCAAATGAATGTCAGCCGCAGTTAGGTTTGGGGCCTTTAGTGTTGAGGGATGTTGAGGGCTTCCGTAGTAAATCTGATGGATCCTGCTATGGCCAGTCCAGTCCAGCTGAGCTGTTCGGCCCTCCTCGTTACAAATTTGTCCAGTGCGCCAGAGAGTCTTCTACGCTCAGCCTGTTTGCTCATGAAAGGCCTGTCCGCATTAGGCGCTGTGGACAGCGTGTGTGGCAGTGGCGATCGTCAGAGGCTGATGGAAGCACTTGTGCTGGCTCATACCGTCGCTGAAATGGCATTCTACTGTCTATCGAGTCTCGTCGAGCCTGTAGCCCAGGTTAATCTGATGACGACAGAGCCAAGGTACAATCTACTGCTCGCATGCACTGTTGCTGGGTGGGTCGAGGTGTTTGAGTTTGGCACTCTTTTTGTTGTGTTGTTTTGGTTTCCGCGGGGCTTTCGGGTTTAGGGTTAAAGAGACTGTTCGGGATTCAGGGTGTTTCGTGCAGCCTAGCATTTAGGGTGCAGCTTGGAGGTCTGGTGCAAGCATGCATGGGATAAGCTGTTGGGAAGAAGCACAGCATCCGAAACAGCCCTCTCTTCGACCCAGTACCCTAAATCCTACACCCCAAAACCCAAAGCCCCTGAACCCTAAATCCAACATCCCAATACCCAAAACCACCAACCCTGAACCCTACGCTACCCCAACACCTGAAGCCCACAGCAGAGGTCCGGATGCGTTCAAGGGACAATGGACAGACTCCCTCGGTAACAAGGCCCGTGAGGGGTTTATGGTCTGGGCTTGAAGGTTCAGGGTTGAGGGTTTCGGTTTATTGTATGGTGAGTTCTGCTTCGTTGGCTGCAACCAAGGGTGAGAAGATCATATTATTGAATACGACAAATCAGGAGCAGATGTACGAATAGCAAGATGGTCATGAGATATCGCGCGGCTACAGTCTTGATGCCCTCATGACTTTCCAAGGAAGAGCAGTTTATCGCGCAAAGGTCTCAAGTCCACTGAAGAGAACCGATTCCGGGCAGCTTGTTTGCCCTTTAAGCCCTAAACGCTAATGAGTACACGCTGCTTAGAGCGATTTCCATATCGTCAGCCCTTGCAAACAGCGATGCAAGTGCTAACCCGAACCCTAAGTTCAGGGTTTTGCCTACATCTTTAGAGGTTACTTCCCGTTCAGGGCGTAGGTTTTTGTTGGTGGAGTGTTGCAGTGGTAGATTTGCGAAGGGGACTGCAATATTCACCATACTAACAATGATAAAGATAATGGCAGTCGTAGTTCTGGCGAAAATGGTAAAGATAATGATAGTGATAAGAATACACACACTCGTAATGGTAATGAAGATGATGATCGTGCTAACAAGAGTGCTTTCTCATTGAGACCCTCAAGAGGCCGGACCCGAAGAGAAGCTACAGCCTCAGGCTCTGAAGGCTGCCCTGCACCTGAATGCCCCAAAGCCCGAAACCGTAAATCCAGAGCCGCAAACCCGGCATCGAGCAAAACCCTAAACCAAAAATTATCAAACCTTAAACCCTAAACCCTAACCCCTAAATTTTGAACTTTAAACCCTAAACTCTAAACGCTTTTGGTGAAGGACTTGGAGTTTTGAGGTATCAGGTTCAGCGGTGTGAGACATGATTACGACTGTAAGTGAACAGGGTTTAGCCCCCCAAAAACCCCTCAACCCAAATGACCGTGTTTTGCAGCTGACTGGGGGTTGTGAGGTCTTGGCCTCTTCTGCGCGCTGCGCCTAAGCCCTGAACCCTAGACCCTGTAAACCTTGGACCTTAGGCCCTAGATTTCCCCTCCTGTTGCACATGATGTGCTTTTAGTTGGGCCGCCGACGATGCGAAGCCCTCACAGTCGAAAACCTTGTGGGTATTTGGGGCTTTATTATTATTATTATTACTATTAGTACTATTATTACTATTAGTACTATTATTATTCTTACTATAATATGGGGCTTTCCAGTTTCCGACGTGGGGTTTAGGGTTTATTGGTTCTTGCTGCGCTGCGTCGGGAGTTCAAGATCAATACCCGAAAGCCGAAAGCTTACATCCCAGGCTTGAAGAGTTCCCAAACACTCTTGTCCTAAATCTTCAAAAACGCCCTAAACACTTTTATTTAAATCCTGGGCCTTAAATCGCAAGCCCTCAGGCCTTAAACTGTAAGCCCAGGCTGTCCCTTCGGCGGGTGCCTCATGGAGGAGGCTGGCAGTGCGGAAATGCCGTACTGGACCCAACTTGCGCCACTCGGATACAGGGGTGTTGGTCTTACGACAGGGGCCTAACTAGTTGAGCGGTTGTCAAAATTATGGTCCCTTTTTGGGTCCCTAAGATAATACAAGAATGCTTTGCTGGGTGATGCACCAGACTTGCCAGAGTCAGAGAGCCCAATGCTCTGTAATTGAGGAACATAGGGTTTTGATTGGGTTTTTTGGGTCTCGAGCGGGTTTATAGGTTTGAATAGGGTTTTGGAGGTCTTAATGCGCTTGAAGTCCTGCTTGTCGTTCTTTGGGTTTTACAAGCCTTCAGATAGCAAGCATACCTTCAAACAACATATAGACCCCCCCCCAATAATCAGATGTTAGGCTTCGGAGTTTTGGGACCTTTAGCCCGGTGCTTTGAAGGGTTTCGGGTTTAGAGTTTAGGATCATAAACCCGGAGCCTTGAGGGAATATTAGGTTCAGCGTGTAGGGTGTTTTAGACAGTCCGAAGCCTCTACGGATGTAGGGTCAGAACATGCAACCCACATCCCGACAGTCCGGGCAGTGAATCGGGAAATTTGCAGATCGAAGGCCTGGGCATCTAAGATCCAGATTCCCGAAACCCTAAACCCGAAGTGTAGGATCCTGGCATCAAGATTCGCTCGAGGGCACCTGAGCACCTGAAAGGGTTCAACTGGCCTGGATGGGGCCCACTTGTACTGAAAGCCTCCTGCTACCTTGCAGCCCTACCACGAGTTCTGAAGCCTACAAGCCTCAGCCCCAAACTCTCAAATAACTCAAGGCCCCAAGAGCCCAAACCGCCGAAGCGCCAAAAAGCACTGAGCCATAAACCAGCATGCCCCCAAAGCGCATAAGTCCTACGTCCTCAGGTGTAACTCCCGAACCCTGAATCCTGTAAACCCTAAACCCTGATCCCTAAACCCGAATCCCTAATCCCTAAACCCTGAACCCCAAACCCTAAGCCCTAAGAGCCTTAAACCCTAAATCCCAAGCACCTTAAATCCTAAGTAAGGCCTTTCCTGATCAACTCACGTCGGTGGCCGCCGACGGCCGCCTCTCCACCTGGGTCAAAGCCTGAGAAGCCTAAAACAAGGGGGTGTAATGATTACCTATACTATTTTGGGGATTCCTTTAAGGGGTCCTCTAAACAAGGTTACTTGTACTAGGTTGCCTTTGTAATAGTTAACTATACTATTCTTGGGGTTCCCCTAAGGAGTCCTGTAAACAAGGGGCCTTAATAATTACTAGGGTTCATTTAAATTACCTATACTAGGGTGCCTTTGTAATAGTTAACTGTACTATTTTTGGGGTTCCCTTAAGGAGTCCTGTAAAGAAGGGGCCTTAATAATTACTAGGGTTCACTTGAATTACCTATACTAGGGTGCCTTTGTAATAGTTACCTATACTATTTTGGGGGTTCCTTTAATGGGTCCTGTAAACAAGGGGCCTTAATAATTACTAGGGTTCATTTAAATTACCTATACTAGGGTGCCTTTGTAATAGTTAACTATACTATTTTTGGGGTTCCCTTAAGGAGTCCTGTAAACAAGGGGCCTTGATAATTACTAGGGTTCATTTTTATTACCTATACTAGGGTGCCTCTGTAATAGTTAACTATACCATTTTGGGGGTTCCCTCAAGGAGTCCTGTAAACAAGGGGCCTTAATAATTACTAGGGTTCATGTAAAACACCTATACTAGGGTGCCTTTGTAATAGTTATCTGTACTATTTTGGGGGTTCACTTAAGGAGCCCTGTACACAAGGGACCTTAATATTTACTAGGGTTCATTTAAATTACCTATACTAGGGTGCCTTTGTGATAGTTACCTATACTATTTTTGGGGTGCACTTAAGGAGTCCTGTAAACAAGGGGCCTTAATAATTACTAGCGTTCATTTTTATTACCTATACTAGGGTGCCTTTGTAATAGGGTGCCTTTTTAATAGTTACCTATACTATTTTGGGGGTTCCCCTAAGGAGTGCTGTAAACAAGGAAGGGGCCTTAATAATTACTAGGGTTCATTTAAATTACCTATACTAGGGTGCCTTTGTAATTGTTAACTGTACTATTTTTGGGGTTCCCTGAAGGAGTCCTGTAAACAAGGGGCCTTGATAATTACTAGGGTTCATTTTTATTACCTATACTAGGGTGCCTTTGTAATAGTTAACTATACCATTTTGGGGGTTCCCTCAAGGAGTCCTGTAAACAAGGGGCCTTAATAATTACTAGGGTTCAGTTAAATTACCTATACTATGGTGCCTCTGTAATAGTTAACAATACTATTTTGGGGGTTCCTTTAATGGGTCCTGTAAACAAGGTTACCTGTACAAGGTTGCCTTTGAAGGGGTCTATGGGGGCTGCTATAAGGGGTACGACAAGGGTACTAAAATGTAGGAGCCTTTCTACTTATCTATTTTGGGTGCTCCATATAGTATAATGGGCCCCAAAACCTTATTCTATTTATTAAGACCCCCTATATTAAGCCCAGTACAGTAGTTCCCCTTCTAGAGACCCTTGTGGTACCCTTCATAGAAACTATTACCCCTAAAGTATCTTTTGTAGCAACCCTTATAGTACCGTATTCAGAAACCCTGACAGTAAGTACCCTTTGTCGAAACCCTTACAGTAAGTACCCTTCTAGAAACCCGTATGGCGCACTGAAAGGAACTCTTCCAGTTTGATATGTTGAAGTGGTGGTGGTGGCGGTAGTAGCAGCAGACGGAGTAGTAGTAGTGGTGGTAGTAGTATATAGTAGTAGTAGCAGCAGCAGCAGTAGTAGTAGTACTAGTAGTACTAGTAGTCCTAGTAGTATAAGTGGTAGTGGTGCGTCGTAGTAGTAGTACTTCTGATTTGGCACACTCAGTATACTTACATATCGTGTGTGTAGTCATACCTGTGCATCTATCGGCAACTATGTCGGTATCAAGCACATCTTCACAAATGCAAACACGGTGCCGGAAGCTGAGTAGCAGAGGCGAAATATCGGAGGGAGTTTCGCGTTCAACACATGCCCGGACATATCAAAGCCCTACAGCAAAACGGCGGTCCTCCTGCAGCTTCAGATAGCTGGGTTGTTGAGAATTTAGAGTGTATCAGTGGGTTTTCCTGCTCCTTGGTAAACGTGGAAGTTTGGAAATTGATCCGAAAGTCCAAGCCCCAAACCCCGGAACCCTGAATCCTAGAAGCACCAGCAGCCCTAGAAGCCCAGGAAGCTTAGAAACTTCAAAACCCAAATGCAAGGATCCCGAAAGCCTTAAATTTAAACCCTACCCGAGACTAGCCAAACCCTAAACCCTGAACCCTAAGTCGTGGTTGAGGTCCGCCATACAGAAGGCTTCGTCCATGGATCGCTCACGTTTCAAGACATGCAGGACTCACCTGTAGGGTTGAGGGATTAGGGGTTCAGGCGTTTGGGGTTAGGGCTTGGGGTTTAAGGATTTCCGGTCTACGGGTTCGGGATGAAGGTAGATGACGCCCGGCGTACCAGAAGGCAGCTCATGTTGAGAAGCATTGCGCAGCCTCAGAAGCCACACCCGTTAAGCTCAGAGATTTTGCCGCAGGACACCTCGATGGAAGACGACTTTGTGTGCATGACGCCAGAGAACTGGGATTGACGACTGACCAATACCCTGGTGCCCTCGTGGTTCAAGTGTATGCAGGAATTAAGCTGTGATGCTTGTGCGCTGAAGGACAAGAGAGTATTTCCCTTATTCTGGGTTGAGGGCCCTAAACCCTGAGACCTAAATCATCTTGCATCCATGAGGAGCAGGGTTTTTGGTCTGGTCCAGGGTTTGTAGTCCAGGAGCAGAGGGCGTAACGTAGTTTGGCGTAAGCCCGTGCTGATCTGGAGTGCTTCCAGCAGAAAGTGAGACGGCCTTGTTCCAAACTCTAAATCCTACACACCCTAAACCCTAAATCCTACACCCAAACTCTCATCCCTGAACCGTAAAGTGCAGCTCGCCTCAAACCTTCCCCATCCGATAGGTCGTCAAGGTGCTTTGTGCTAATACATGGGGCCTCACCAATCAGAGTAGTGTGTTGGGGCATATTCAAAATGTGGTTATACTACGGAGCACGAAACAGTAGTATTGGCAATTAGCCCGGCCTCTACTTTATGTCAGCTGTCTTTGGACCGCTATGATGTGGCCGCATTTCTTTAGTCGGCTCCCGGTCAGTTGAGACATAACGAGCGCCAACATCCTACACCGTAAACCGTTAGTGTACAGCGACTGGAGCCAACTAGAATGCAAGTAAGGCCGGTCGCCGCACCTTCCCTGCAATCTCCATACATGCCCAAACTAGACGGTGTCCCAAAGTCATGGTGATGAGCCCTCTTGTCTAGTTCAAAATACGTGTTTTGCGGAGAAGGCCCACAACAAAGCCCGGGTAATTAGAAAGTTTTTCCTATGGTTCTACGGTTCCTATATACCTATATATATGTATATATATATATATCTATCTTCATACGCATACATATACACGCACATACACATCCACACACACACACACATGTTGCATGTCTCTCTCTCTCCCTCTCGATCTCCCCCTCTCTCTCTCTCTCTCTCTCTCTCTCTCTCTCTCCTCTCTCTCTCTCTCTCTCTCTCTCTCTCTCTCTCTCTCTCTCTCTCTCTCTCTCTCTCTCTCTCTCCATACTTATATATCTGCATCTATATACACATACCAATGCACCCCCCCACACACACACACGTACACATATCTACATCTGTATACACACACACACACACATATATATAATTACATATATGCATGTACATACAGATATTCCTATTCCCGCACATAGGTTTGTATATTATTGTATGGTTGTACGCATCGATACATCTATGCGTACATACATATATACGCATTTTCATACATGTATACGTGCATCGCATGCGCAAATAAGTACGTTTACACATGCGCAGCAGAACATAACACAAAATAAAATTTGCATAACGTAACTTGAAGTAATAGAACATAGCATTGTACGCATGCAAACATCTGCACACATATACATCATATATAAACACAAATACGTTACGTACATGTGTATATATATATATATACATATAGACACACACACACACACACATACATGTACATATACATGCACGCATGTATTTCGGTGTTCCCGTGGTAGAGTATACGCCACGACAGTATCAATGCTCTTCTACTACATGGAGAAGGCTCGGCTTTATGCTGCATACCGTTAGCCGTTTACCGGTGTAGCCATGAGCATTTCTCGAAATCGGACTTCTCGTTTCGGGTTGGACCACTGTCAGCGTTCAGGAGGCTAGGCCTAAGGCCTAAACTTTAAACTCAAAGTCTACCGAAACCCTAAACCCCAAGACGGGGAAAGTCACGTTCCAAAAAGCATCGTTTCTTCGTGGGGTTTCTGGGTGTAGTCAGGGTAAGGGTCACGGGCGGAAGGTGCGCGGCTTGGGCCGGCTCGAAAGCTTGATTCGTGGTGTAGTCGCTCGTGATTCCCACCTGAACCACACGCCCTAACTACATTCTAAGACCTATGACTTCTAACTCTTGGTGGAAGAACGGGTTTGAGGTGTAACGTAGATTGAGGCGGTTTCGACGTTTGTGTGTGTCGTTGAGGACAAGTTTCGGTTTTGCAACTTGCTGGTGTCAAGTATTTCGAGAAATGCACAGGCATTTTACTTAGGCTGTGAAGCGCGCGACCAAAAGCTCGTGCTAGACTTCACCTTTGAAATAGTCCACACAGTGTGACCACAAGGCTACTGGTGGAACTAGCGCCACATCAAAGCAGTCGACGGAAGAGTCGAGACCCCTCTCGTCAGTTACCAAAAGAACGCGTGGCTGTGCTGATTGTAGAAACCCTAAACCCTAAACCCCTAAACCCTAAAAGAAGCGGTGTCATGATCTGAACCGGCGCAGCAGTCGCAGCAGGAGTAGGTTGTTGGACAGATGCAGAGTTCAGGGTTTGAGGGTTCAGTAACTTACCTTTGGTTAGTAGGGAATGGAGGAGTGGGGTACAATTATAACTACTATTACTACCATTCTTCCACTCCCTACTAACCAAAGGTAAGGTAAGAGCTGTAACAGGGGCCGACCAACGAGCCGGACTGGCTTCCCAGGTAGATGCTTGAGGTTTCACCTGTTAGTAAAGTTTAGGGTTCAGGGTTTAGGGTTCATTATGTCCTTTGCTCATGCAGCTCTGCTTGAGAATGGTAATCAAGCGTTCCCTCGCTCTGCATGTTGAGCCCTACCTATGCCTGTTTGTTGGCGAGATACCAAGATAAGAATAAAGCAGCTGCGCCGATTATGTAATTTGACATGATCATGCTGGTTGATGCGTTGCAGCATCGAGCTGCTCACGGTGCAGGTGTCATGCACACTGTACTTATAACCCATATTGGGGGACTTATAACCCCGCTTATAACTACCCATAACCTCCATGAACTTCCCTGCTTCTTTTCGCCGAAAACCTCCGACAGAAGACACGCGGCTCAGGAAGGCTCTTCTGTGCAAGTGAGCCTCCCTTTTTCCCTTGCTGTACACCTCAGTCGAAAGTTCAAGTTTATGGGGTTTAGAGTTAATGTCTGAGGGGCCAGCACAGGCAGGATGTCGGATTGTGTTTGGAGACTTTTTACAGCAAGGGGGGGAAGGGAGCAATGCTCCGGCAACACTCCGGATCCTCCTCGAAGGGGGCAATGTACAGGCAGCAGTCCGAACTCTCCCTGAAGGGAGGCTTGGTGTTCTTCTGGCTGGCTCTTAGGACTTTAGCTTTTCGGGTTTCTATATGAACCAGAATAAGGAGGCTAAAAGTTTTTTCTTTTGGGAGGGGTTCAGAAGTCTGCCAAGGAGGGATTCTACGGCAGCAATCGGAGTCCTCCTTGGCCCGCCACGCCGAATCTGTGGAACTGCTCAAGGCAGCCTCTGCATCCTTCCCGATGTTCACAGTGCTCGGGGAGGCGCAGCCTCACTGTCTCGGTAGCTTTAGTGTTGCCAGAAGCTCCTGGCAGAGTAAGATCAAGATGGGTCGTAGTCGCGATTCATGGCGCTTCTTTCTCTCCTTCTCGGGGCTTATGCTGTGTGCACCTTCAACTGTGCACCCAAAGGCCAAGACCCTAAGCCCCAAAACGCAAAACTCAGAACTCTCGAACTCCGAAGCCTGTGGTCTTGGGTTTAGCATTGGGGGAAAAGGGTGTAGGGTTTGGGCTTCTTTTGTTAGTCTTGAGTTCATCAGGGGCTTGTATTCGACCCTGTTCGACCCCTTTTGCTGTTGGAGCGCGGTGTGAGACTAACTTTCATGCTTCGAAGAGACGCGGAACCTTCATGATCAGAACGTGGCTTTGGGGGTTTGTTATACTGTTGCTTACCATTGGGCAAGGGCCAAGACAAGTCCAAGGGATACTACTCTTAATTCCTCAGACCTCCCTATCAAGGTCCCTTACACACCCGTTTGGGGCGGGACCCTAAACCCTAAACCCCAAAACCCCAAAACCTAAGCCTTAAACCCCAAACCCTAAACCATCCTAAACCCTAAACCCCAAACCCTAAACCCTAAACCCGAAAACCTCGAACCCTAGCAGGACCTACTCAAAATGACGTCGGTGAGACCCCACGAAGCTCTGCGGGTGGATGGTGTCGTGACGGAGTTTGACCCGGCACTTGGCAAAGCTGCCTTCGTCTCGCATGACCCTGGGCTGAGAAGAACCGCAGAAACACCGTAAGTAACATAAACAGTGTAAACGGTTTCAATAGTATAAAGAGTATAAATCGGACAGAAAATCATAGTATTCATCACCATATAAGAGATCAACATTAAGAACAAGTCCCAAGATCAATCAATGAGCATTTTGGACTTCCGGCGATATGGGGTTCGAGTGCTCTGGAGATTTCTGGGGCTTAGTCTTTCTTTTAAGTTTTGTTTTCTCGATTTTTCAGAGCAGAAGATATGATCCGTTTCTCAGGATTTCTGTGAGATCCTCCTTCCTAAACTCCTAAACTCCTGAACCCTGATCCCTAATCGCCAAGATCATAGTAGTACTGAGCAAACCCTAAACCGGGGCTTCTTACGACGTAAAGCGTTTGATTGCTGTTTTGGCCCGGCGGCTTCCCCTCGAAAAGTCTAAAGCCTAAAGTCCTGTCAGAGCGATAGGAGAGTTTCCGAAAATACGGGACCCTAATCTAGTACCCTAAATAGTAGGATCCTTATTCTGAGGACCCCAAAATAAGGTGCCCCTAATTTTCGGAAACTCCCATATGTTCGGCCTCTGGGGTTCTTCGCCCGTGGTGCCAGATACCGAGGCTTTCGAAGCATCCGAAGCCCTAAACCCTAAACCTTAAACCCTAAACCCTAAACCCTAATCATCATCATCACAATCCCTCAACCTGAAGCTCCGGAGCTGAGGCTCTAAGCCTGGAGCCGAGGAGCCTTAGAGTTTAGGGGTTTAGAGGTTTAGGGTTTGGGGGTTTAGGGTCTAGGGTTTAGGGGTTTGAGGGTTTAGGGGTTTAGGGTTAAGGGATTAGCCGCAGAAGCCACTTTCGACCCAGGAATGGGTTGGCAAACGGCACCCGGATCCAGACATGAGGCAGTTCCGGGTGCTCCAAGATGCGCTGCGGAATGTTTTGTCTGGCGAGGCGCCTCCGCTCAAACAAGCTTAAGGGCTGTGTAAGTATGTTATGAATAAAGATTCCTTTTGGATGTTATGAAGGGTTAAAAAGCGATCGACATTGGCTTAAAGCCCTGTTTTTGGTAGACACGTGTCAACCAGAAGCCCAAAATCGAGAGCTCGACTCGGGAAGCTGCTCCTTTGTGGGACAAACCGCCTAGTAACCTTCGGCCACCACCAGGGCTAATGCAAGGCCTGAAGAATTTGTAACTAACACTGTCCCTTAGCCTTAGGGTTATGTTCTTTAGCAGGACCAAACCCCACAGCACATCTGGTTTGCCGCGGAGGCTTGCACGTTGAACCCCACAAAGTAAGTCCCAAGCCAACAACTTTAAGCCCGGATAAACTCAAAACCCTCAGTCCTAGATCTAAACCCTACTTGGAGGTTCATGGGGAGTTATAAGCGGGGCTACAAATAGGGTAACTATACTTAGAACCCATTTTGGGGGACTTATAACCTCACTTATAACTACCCCTGAACCTCCAAGTAAGCCCAAAGCCCTAAGTCCTATATCCTCAACCTTCAAGTTTCCTTCAGCGCGTCCAAGGCAAGGGTCATGGTGGACATGCCCACCGAATTGCCCCTACAGCTTCGTGAGCAGGCTTTTGCAGCTTTGAGGAGCTTGTAACACTTACCTAGGAAAGCAGCAGGAGTCAGAACATAGAATCCCAAATAACTACTGATACCACCCCTTAGGGTTCCTTATGATACCTATACTACGACATATTCCAAAACCCTATTCTCAGTATCACGCCTCAGTTTTATGCCATATTATCCCGCCCTGACCTTCAAACCCACCTAACTCCCGGAACCCCTAACTGTTGACACTCCCGAGCTTGAAACCCAACCCTTGTACCTGAAACCCGAAACCCTACCCTGAAGCAACTACCAACCCCGAAGCACCAAGCCCTAATAAACCCTAAACCCTAAACCCTAAGCCCCAAACCAAGAACCCCACAGATCTTCAGCCCTTAGCCTGCGACAATCCCCAACCCCGTCAGAGAGTCCCGCAGCCCCAAAGCAAAGGATCCCTACAACAGTGTTTGGGTTTCGGGTTTGGGGTATAGGAAATAGCAGCAACATCCCCTTCCTGGCCGTCCCTAGAGTAGACAAGACCCTCCCCATCAAAAATCCCAAATCCAAGAAACCTCTGCTTGTCAAACCGAAAAGGCCCTGTACATCAACCCTATACGGCCCCATAGCGCCCTCTAGATAGGGTTTTGGGGCACATTATACTTGATGTATAGCTGCCATTTGTGATGCCAATGATTAACCCTGCATCGTAGGTTCGTCCTAGCCAGGCGGGAGGCAAAAAATAATAAGGAAGCCCCGAAACTGGTATAGGTAATTATTCAGACCCCTAGAGTAAACAAAACAAAACAGCGTTTAGAGTCACAACTGTCAAAGGTCTATCGGGCTCTCGAAAGCTGCCGAGTCGACCTGCGGACTTGCCAGCGCAGACCGTATCTTCTTTTGGTATGACTACTTCTCCTGTGCCTCGATTTAGAGAGTTTTACGAGGGAACCCACAAGGGATAGTGGGGTTTAGCGCTTGACGGGCTACTTCTCTTGTGCCTCGAAGAAGTGGGTGTTGAGGCATTTTATACTACAATTGTCTTCGAAGGTTTTCGGGACTACTTCTCCCGTGCCTCGTTTTGGAGTTTTCTGACAGAGCCCATAGACAAATCTTGTGACACCGCTTGTCCTGTACCTTAGTGGTTAGGGTTTGGGGTTGAGGGACTACGTCTCTTGTGCTTTGAAGAATAGGATTTTGAGTTCCGGTCACTATGCCGCAGTTATCTTCAGCGTGCTACCTACGGCTTCGGGTTTCAGGTCGTCTACTTCCCGGGGGCACTGCGCCTTAGCGTTAGGGTTTGGGGTTCAGGGTTGTCGAGTTCAGGGACTACTTAAGTGTCTCCAACCAGAGGGTCTTGAGTTTTGTTTGATTTTGTGCAAAAATTGTAGTCGGAGGGTGTTGGAACTACTTCTCCTGTGCCTGGTTTTGCCGCCATATGAGGAAGCCCTGACCACTTCTACTCTGCCTGAGCACTTGGTCTTGAGGGTCGAGGGGCTGGGGTTCAGGGAACTTAGGGGTGCTTAGGTCGGGGTTTAGAATGGTATTGTAGTGCAGGGGGCATCGGAAACGGCTTTCAGTGTTGGTTTGGGGTATTTAGCTTCAGTAGAAGTGGTGGTTTTCTGTAAATTTAAGCGTCTCAGCCGTAAGTCCAAGCTCTTAACCTCCTCACACCCCTTCGCTGCAAAAGATTCCAAGCCCAGTGCAGCAGCTCCAGGTCCACAGCTGGAAGGCCAGGAAAAGCCAGGTGTTCCCATGGAGAAGTCTGCGCTCCGTGATGCCGTGAATAGCATCTAGGATGCCCAGTAGTACCCTTTTTCCCTTTTTGTAGTCCTAGGTTCTTTATAAAGTTACCCAATACCAAAAAGAGAGGCCCTTTTTTTCTTAGGTTACTGGGTATCCTAGGCATTCCGGCCTACATCAAGCAGAGCGATCTCTTTTTGGCCCTCTGTCCAGTGTTGACAAGCAGGGAGCCGCTTGGACCTGTCGGTTCCTAAGATGATTTCTGTGACATGGGGGTGTGCGTGTGTGTATAATATCGGTATATATATATGTATATATATATATATATATATGTAAATATATATATATATATATATATATATATGTAAATGTACATATATATATATATACATATCTATACCTATACATATACCTATACCTATATGGTACCCCGCCCCCCCCCAGGACCAACCTCGGCCATTGTCCTGCTCATTACTGTCTTCACAGCGTCATGAATAAGAGCCGAAACCACTGTAAATACCGATGGTGTTTGTGTTCCCGTACAAAGTGTGCACTCTCGACGCCTCTTGACAGACTGGTAAAAAACAGGGTCCAGTTTTATGGACACCATTTACACTCTCGGCGCGTCTTGTCGGAGTGGTAAAAGACAGAGTCCAGTCTGTGTGCCTCACCCTTTATTAATTATTGTCATCTTGTCAAAGTCTTATTCTTAGTTTCAGTCTTAAAGAACAGTGTTAACATTGGTCTTGACTTAATTTTGTTCTAAGTTTTAACCTCAATTATTGTGAGTAGTAACCTTAATATTTTTGCTAGCGTTAGCATTATTATTAGTTTTGTGTCATTACTAATTTTAGAAGTTCTAACAATGCTGCTGGTATCTGTCCAATATTACTGTTCGTTTGATTAGTGTTCCTGTTAGTGCTGATGCTGGTGTCAGTGTCAACGTCAGTGTTAGTCTTAATATTAATATGAGTATTAGTGCTCCAGTTTAAATTAATATATGTCTATAGCAGTGTTACTGTTAGTGTTCGTGTTAGTATTCGTATTAATATTAGACGTGGGCTGGGCTTGAAAAACTTAGTCTTAGTACATTATGTGTATAAGTATTCATATGTGTATATTCAGTATATTGGTATATGAACAAAACATATATATTAAGAAAACAAATGTTGGGTATACTCGTATATTGGTATATTAGTAACAATGGTCTGTTGGTATATCAGTTTCTCAGTATATTAGTATATTAATTTATTAGTATATTAGTATAATACTATAACCATACATATTGGTAAATGAAAACATCGAGTTTTTTAACAATCTGATGCATTCATTTTCTTGTGCCTTATTCTGATGTATTCTTTAGTATACATTACAAAAACGATATTGACATTAATATGATGTTTGTAAATTCATATTGGTATTGATATTAATATGAGTATGTAATAATCTTTCTATATTTGTATGAGCACAAATAATTTTACTAGTATTATGCATGTTCGTACTAGCCGAAGTATTAGTGCTCATATTAATATCAATATGGTTCTAAAGAGACTATTAATGTCGGTATTCGTACTGAGAATAATTTTGTTAAGAACATGAGCATAAATACCCGTAGGAATATTCATACCTATGCTTGTATTGGTATTAATACTCGTATTAGCATGAGTACTAGCATTAGTACGTATCTAGGCATGACGATTCTTATATGAATATAAAAGGGGAACATGATTATTAGCATTCGTAAGAACATTAGTTTTCCTATACATTAATGCTACCTAATATTACTATGCATATTAGTATTGGTCAGAACATTAAAGTTCGTGTTCACATCAATTCTAAAATTGGTATTGGTGTAGATACTAGTAGTAGAATTAAAATTAGTATGAACAAAACATGCGTTGGTATTCGTCGGAATATGAAACTTGAGGTTACTTTTCGTATGAGTTACTAGTACTACTGAAAAACATACCAATTCTGATATAAATACGAATGCTAACATTCATGTATGAGCATTTTATTATGCACGTTCGCACTAGCCTTAGTGCTAATATTAGCATGAATATGAGTACTCCGAAAATGAGTAATTTCACGAATATGCATAGCCAATCTTCATACTAGCGATAATGCTAGCTATAGTATGTATATTAGTATTCGCATCAAGACTATTTTTACAATGTACATGATTTCAAGTATCCTTGGGAACATCAGTATTCATACTAGCATTACTATCAGTTTCACCAGTATTACTATAAGTATTAGTACTCGTACGAGTATTATAGTTTTCAAAGTTTTCAAAATAATATCAATATTACTACAAGTATCACTTGCACAGACACGTCAACCGGCGACGACACGAGGTCGAGTTCCCTAAATTCTCTAATCACTGCTTCCATGCCTCGAATTTACAGAATGCGTGAGTTCCTGCAGACTCCCTAAATCCCTAAAGTCTTTACATACCCTAATTTTCAAAAAACCCCATGTGTTGGTTTTAGCGCATTCCCTAACATTCCTGACTCCCAGCCAGGACCATGTGTTGGATTCCCTAAATTCCCTAATTTCCCTAAATTCCCTAAATTCCCTAAGTCCTTACCCCATGTGTTGGATTTGGGGATTTCCCTATTTCCCTAAATTCCCTAAATTCCCTAAATTCCCTAAGTCCTTACCCCATGTGTTGGATTTAAGGAAGTCCCTGTTTCCCTAAATTCCCTAAATTCCCGAATTCCCTACCCCATGTGTTGGATTTGGGGAATTCCCTATTTCCCTAAATTCCCTAAATTCCCTACCCATGAACGGAAACCATTGAATCTTCTCCATGGGGGTCAGACTTAGGGAATTTAGGGAATTTAGGGAATTTAGGGAATTTAGGGAATTTAGGGAATTTAGGGAATTTAAGGAATTTAGGGAATTTAGGGAATTTAGGGAATTTAGGGAATTTAGGGAAATAGGGAATTCCCCAAATCCAACACATGGGGTAGGGAATTAGGGAATTTGGGGAATTTAGGGGAAATAGGGAAATACGTAAATCCAATGGGTAGGGAATTAGGGAATTTAGGGAATTCAGGGTTGGTCTTGGGGGGGGGGCTAGCACCTATATCTATATCTATATCTATATCTATATCTCTCTCTATATATTTACGCATACATGTAGTGTGCTTAGGGCTTCGAGCTTTCTAGTTGAGGGTTTAGAGATATGTAAAGGTGTTTAAAAATCAGGACCCAAAGCTTTAGTGCTGCTTGCCGAAGCAGCTTGACATCACGGCACCACTCCATGCTGCATCAGGGGTTTCTCGAGGTAGAATTTCTTCACACAGTAGCCTAGACGTGGTTGCAATGTTACATCAAGCAGACCATTCCGACTTTCCAGGTTCTAGATAAGTCGCTCGACCAAGGCTCGTGACACTTGGTCTTTCCTACGACTACGACACCCCTTGCCCGCATGATAGTGTTGCAGCTTCAACAGCTCATCCAGCGAGCGGGGCCGTGCTACATGTAACACCACAGGCGGTTTCACAACATCCGCCAGCAGCGTGATATTGATCAACCAGTGCCACAAATTGCATTGCTGACCAACCCCGAGGATAGGCTTCTGCATAGTGGCGGGGCCAGTTGAATTTGAATAGTGTTACAAGGGACGTGATAACAGGGTGATGGCTAATCCGCGAACCACCTTTCCCATGTGATTCTATCTTCTTCGATCATTCTCATTAGAAGAACTGACCCGAAGTATCTGGTACTCTCAACAGTGACTGCTACTCCACAGTAGTAAAGCACCCAACAAACATTCTGTTAACCCTGAAGCCTAAACATGAAATACGCTGGACAAGGTCCAAAAATCCTTGAATGCCTTTCGAGGTGAGCCTGGGCGGCCCCGGAGGCTTTGGCAACGGCCTCGTCTGATCTGATCCCTTAACGGGATTACGTAGGTTATCTAGGGGTTTAGGTTGGATTCAGGATTAGAGTCCTAAACAAAACGTACCAGGATCGGTCCCTTCACTGAGGAGCCACCACCCCTTTATGATAGATGCATATTGAGCATGAAGGCGCTTTGTAACCAGATTGTATTCAAGAGCCCAAAGGATGTTTGATTCGCATTAGAGATTCCCTCTATTTCCTGCTTGATCCCGAAACCATGAACCCTTTACGAGGCTCTTTTGTTGGTTTCTAGCTGGAGTCAGAGCTACGTCAGTGTATAGTACATTTACATTTTGTAGATGCCGTGCGGAGGAGAGCCCTAACCCCTTGAGGCCATTGGTAGGCAATCCCAAATCAGGATTGGAACCCTTTAGAGTCACATGGCCTCTTGTTCTAGTGCCCTTATTTGGAGGGCTGGAGTCGCTAGAAGCCCCTTACTATCCAGTGTAAGACCTCTGAAGCAGCCCCCTCGCTCCCTTTCATGTTCAAGTTTCTATTCCATTTCCAGTCGATTCTCCATTATGGACACTAAGCCCCGAACCCGAAGCGCTAGACAGTAGTTTCCATGTTCTTTCTCCATTGACTTTTGCCATTGACTTCACGGCTCAAACCGGCCTTGGCGCTCCCTCGTGCTGGCTGCTACCAGCCGCTTCTGTTGAGGAGGGTTTGGGGTTTTAGGGACCGGTAGTCTAGGTGAAGTTTATGACCTGAAGGCTTGGTACTCTTTTGCTTCAGCAACTCATTACCCGCGCCCTGACGTTCAGGGGTTTGGCCCCTTCCGGGCAAGTTGCGATAAGAACTCTGCAGAGGGACGCAGCAGCCGCCCGTTGCATTGTGGATTTTTTGCTTGTGCAGCAGATCTTTCAATTTTCTGCCTTTGCCATGAGATATTCTCTGGTATTTTCCATCCAGAGGTGGCCCTGATATCGACTCAATTGTACTGTACACTGTACACTGGATAGATGAGAGTCCTCGGGGAAACCCCAAAGTTGCACAACGATAACAGCTTACAGATCCCAAAAATTTGTATATACCTCTATATACTCCTGTGCATCCGCGCATAATCCCGATTATTCCTTGAAAAGGGATTCCGTGGCTGTTTGTACACAGCCCACATTTCTATAACCGCAAGCACCGCAAGAGGCTGTGGGACACGTTCCTTCCAAGCTTCCTTGCAAGTCACTACACTTTGCGTAGGGTTCAGGGTTTAGGTTTATAGGTTTCAAGTTGATGTTGGAGACGCTTCCGGCAAAGCGATAGGAGCGAACAGCACATTTGCGAGGGAATACTGTTTGATTGCTCTGCCAGCGGTAGGCGTAAGTGCGAGGGCTGTTATTCATTACACGGTCGAAAGAAGATCCATGTAGGCGTTGTAGCCTTCATAGGTAGATAAGCCTTAGTTCGCGCACATCCATCCCGAAACCCCATGCCCTTTTCCCGAATCCGGCACCAATACATTGCTACCGCTTGAAACCTCCTCCCCTAGCAAGTCTTCAACCTTTAAGCCTGCTGATGTCCTGGGTCCCCTACCTGCTTCTGGGGTCCCAAGATTGGGCTTGTGCCAGCCATTCGGGTCCAGAATGGAGCGCAAAGCTAAGCTCTCTAAATCTGCAGTTGCCAGCACTTACCGATCACATCAATAGTTGGAACTTCGAAGCTTGAGCTCTCAACCCCTAGCCGTTACGCTCGAAATCGCTAAGTCTCTGTGAGAATTCGAAGCCTACCCCAGACCCCGAAGGCGCTACTCAACCCCACTTGCAACCCAAAACATGAAACCACCCTAAACCCTAAACCCCTAAACCCTAGAACCCCTTCAACCCTAAGCACTGAAGGACTCGATCCGACAGTGCCTGGGCTTTGATTTCGGGGTTACATGCCCAAAATCAGCGTCGGATCCCATCATATAGCCCCCCTTCGAGAGTGCGTCGTCTGACACTTCCAACAACAGAACAGAACAGAACATACAGCCCCCTTGGAAAAATTCAAAGGAATCTATGCCATGTTGGGGATGGGAAGGCTTGGGAGGGTCTTGGATTGATCTATAGATGGCCTGGACTGGTGTTGCACGGTTTAGGCGTCCTGTGAGGTTAAAAACAGGTCAGGGGTCGCAAAGATCGTTGGTCTACACACAGCCCACTTGCCATGTTTATTGTGTTTATATCCGATCAGTGCCGCCCTAGACCCCGAATCCAAATCCTGAAGCATAAATCCGGAATGCGAAGCCCTAAATCCTAAACCTGAAGTCCTAAACCATGACTGCTAAACCTGCAGCCCTAAACCCAAAATCCCGGCAGAAAAACCTGAACCCGGAACTCCAGCGGTCCGCTGATGGGTTGGGAAGTTATCCGGACGTGGAATTTGACCCCGCCGCAAAGCACGAAACCCTAAGCCCTACGGTGAGTATCTATAGTGTAGGCGTCTGGACCCTAAGCCCAAAACCCTAAGGTCGCTGATCCCCCAGGCCAATTTCACGTGCGCTCCCTGCAAAGTACCCAGCCTCCGCCCCTTGAGTCTCAGGTCAACCTCCAGACCATGAAACCAGCAGGCCACGAAGCTTTCAGAGCAGCCGATAAAGCTTTGCACTACAAACCAAAGCTCGCAACTTTTCGTAGCAAAGCCCGAGACTGAAACCAACCCCAAACGCCTAAACCCTAAATAAATAAATCCCAAACCAAAGCCCTTGATTTCGAAAGCATACTTTTTCCATGTTCACAAGGCAATCATCGCGACCTACTCCCTCCACCAAGTCTGGTTGAAGCCGCTCAACACCCTCTTGGGTTTTCGGGATCTGTCTTCTGGGCCTGCGGCAGGGTGAAAGGTTAAGGTTTAGGGTAAAGAACGAGGGTTTAGGGTTCGTGGGACTCGGTCGTGATGATAGAGGTCGAGCGGATCTGGCAAGTCCTCCAGCCCAGTAGCAAAAAGGGCATTCCTAAAAAAAAGGCTACCGCTCATTGCAGCGTCATTGACATCGAAGTTGAACAGCAGTGGTTTGCCAGCCATCCCAAGCAAGACCACTCTCCAACATGCTCACATAGGAGCCCATATGCCTACACCAAACGGTTGCCTCTGGGGTTTGGGATTTGTGTGCGTAGCTGTTTTTGAGGGTCTTCGTTCCACCTCACCCCTCAAATTACCAGATGTTTGCGAAACTGTAAAAATTTAGAAATACTCTGAATGAGTACTTCGCTTCGGCAAGCAGTCTGGGACCTGATTTTGGTCTTCACACCAGTTTTCAACCCGATTCATGTCATGTTGCAGCCGCTTTTTGTTTTCAGAGGTGCGCTAAATCTCGCTCTCTCGTAATTCCATGGGCTCGAGCATGCGAACGGGAACGTCATTTTGGATTGGGCTTGGATGCTCTATACCATTGAACATTGCGATGGTTTCGTCATGGATGCTTTGATTGTCGGATGTCCTCGAACGTGAGTGACGTTATGTGTCGGTCATGGATTCTTGTAGTAATCGTAGCGCGCGTTCAACGATGCTCCAGACGTCGCATACGCTCAAGCATGAATGATACTACAGATTGGTCAGGGAGGCTCTGGTAATCGAAGGCGCAAAGGAATGACCGTGGTACCGCACGATGTTCCCTTCCCCTAGTGCCCTCATATTGAATTCATTCACTCTGGGGGCGAAGCATCCTGTAGGGGGAGCAGCATTAAGGTGATTCTATAACCGAGTGGCATCCTTCCCAAACCTACGTATATTGCATGCATATCAGCAGCATGTTTCACCCAGCCCAGGAGATGTGGCCTGCACTCCCAGTCTCATGGCCAGAATTCGGGAAATACTGCAGGGTTGGTGGGTAGAATGCCATTCAGGCTCTTGTGTTCCATGTCAAGCCCTTATAGGAGGCTGAAGAAAGCCTTGAATCCTAGCGAGTACCGCCGCTGAAGCTTTGAGTCTATGCCAAAACCCAAAGAAGCAGTAAACCCCGCATCCTACATGCACACCCCAAACCTTGCCAATGAAACCCTGATAGATCCCGTATAGAACCCCTTAAAGGAGCCTTGCACTACACGTTAAGATCATTAAGGCTTCCACATAAACTTCCACACGCTAAATCGCAAAAGCCAAGCCCTAAACCTTTAAACCCTCGTCCCTAAACCTTAATTCCCTGAACCCTGAACCCTAAGCCGCCGTTTAGAGGTTCGAGCACCAGCCGCGCAAGTCAATGCACTTCGCGGGCTTCCCAACCTGGGCCCGCTGTCCGCAAGAAGCCTCCCAGATTTTGCTTGACACCTTGCCATCCCTGAGGAAACACGTGCTATGTTAATTCGATTTGCCAGGCCTGCCGCACCGAGCGACAAATACAACATCCGTCAGTCTCCGCCATTTGCCAGGCGCTGGCCGCCTCCGGCTTCCAAACAGCAGTCGGGCCCCATGTGCAGTCAAATGTGAAGTTGCACGCCTTGCGTGCACATCCCATTGCAAAACAGGGCCGTGAATTTGCGGCAGTCCTTCGGCATTGCCGAGGACAAGCGCAGCGCGGCTCCTAACATCAAACGATGCCGGCATGCAGCTTTGGCCGTCAAGTCCATCTGAGGAGCGACGTGAAGCAGAAGTTGTGCGCTCTGGCGCAGTCCGCTCACTCAGACCGTGGCCCACTTGCCGCTGTCCCCAGTTGCGGTGTTGAGCCGAGGTCAGTTTTCGGGCACGACTGGCGGCAACAACAAGATGCTCACGAGTTCCTGTGCTCGTGTCCTGCCGGCCTTGGTAGCATTGCTTTCTGCCACAAGCTTATGTTCAGCTAGTTCCTTCCTTTCGGCGTCCTGGGTCATGCTGTGAACCAGGAGGTTGCGTCGTTTCTGGTGGCACGGTGTGCGCTGCTGTTTGCGAGTGGCAACGGTGCGATTTCTCCTAGAGCGCCGCGCACTTCGCGTTCTGAGCTCCGCGGTTGTTCCTTTCGGCGTCCTGGGTCATAGTGTGAACCAGGAGGTGATG